AACAAAACATAAGCCCCAAATGCATCTTTTCCAATTCACAAAATAATTTTCAACATGTATTTCTTACTTTCAAACATTTCAAGCAACGAAGGTAATATAGGCAGTCCCTAAATATGATTTTCCATATGTATTTCTAAAAGAGTAAAATGCATTCCAAGACCACCCAACGATTTCAAATTTTTGCAAATTGAGTACTAATGGTCTCTGAATTTTATAAATTAGCCACTGAAAATTCCATATCTCTTTGCAAATCAGACACCAAAGGTACAAGTATTGAACATCCACAAAAGAGTACTTTAAATCTCATAAGAAAAGTGTCCTTGAAAATTTTTAGAAAATACAACTCTTGGAAGAATTTTATCAAAACCCATGTGCTAAATTTGTAGGTATATAAGAATTGGATGGCATGCATGTAAATGATTAAAGTTCAAATGAAAGAAGTATAAAAACATAGAAATTACGTGACATGCATCAAGAGTTCTCCAAAATAAACTAGCAAGGCTCCCGAATTCCAGCAGCAACTTTCAAATCTTCACATAAGTGAGGGTATCACACTTCTCATATTTTTGCAAGTTCATAGTTATGTAAAGAATAAGAAGAAAAGCTCCCATGATACGAAATTTGTCATAACCAAACTACCAAAGAAGAGGAAAATTATAGGGAGCTTACCTCAATGACCACTAAATCAGAAATGACGAAAGCAAGAAAACCCAAAACAAAAATTCCAGAAATGAAGTAAGCTCCACCGAAATTTCAGCCCTGAAAGTTCCCCCACAGAACTTCCAAGAAGGTCACAAGCACTCAGGTAATGAACAAATCAAAGAAGATTTTAAGAGAAGAAATTTTGGCAGCACCTCCCCTTTTCTTTCAATTTTCGGCTAGCCCTCGGATCTCCCCGAAATGGGGTTTTTATAGCAAAAGAAGGAAGAGGAAGAATAACATCGCTCACCTGGGCGGTGAGCCGAGCCAAGAGAAGCGACAAACCTCGCGTGAGGAGATGACGACGAGAATCGTAGAGGCATGGGAGGGGAAAGCCGGAGCGCGTCGGAGGGAGTAGGTGGAAGCTTTTCGTAGAGCGGCAGGCGTACGAGGAGGGGGACCGCAAGTCGAATCTTCGCGATCGGCGAGGGGCTCTGTCGGTTCGGCTAGGGCTCACGATCGAAGAGGAAGGAAAGCTCGGGCCGGCCTCGCGAACGGGAAGAAAGGGCAACCGAGCGAACCGTGTGATTTAGGGATTTTGGTTTAGAGAAAAAAAAAACATAAG